AAAAAAAAAAAAATGTGTTAGGAATCTTTTAGATTTAACATTTTTTTTTTTTTGACCAATGAATCTATTTCCGCTATCATATCCTCAACGCCTGAGAGTCTCTCTTCCATCTCTTATATTCTGTTGGTGATGCTAACATCTGTAGTTCCTGTTTGCTTACCAAGGTTTTCCATTTCCAGAATTCCCTCTGTTTGTGTTTTCTTTATTGCTTCTATTTCAATTTTCAGGTCTTGAACCATTTCCTTCATTTGTTTGATTGTTTTTTTTTTTTTTTTTCTTGGCTTTCTTGGCATTCTTAAGGGGATTTATTGATTTCTTCCAACTTTTTGTTTGTCTTTTCCTCGATTTCTTTAAGGGAGTTTTTAATTTCCTCTTTAAGAACCTCTATCATCTTTTTGTTTGTTTGTTTATTTCGAGACAGGGGTTCTATGTGTAGTTTTGGTACCTGTCCTGAATCTCCGCTCTATAGATCAGGCTGGCCTCAAACTCACAGAGATACACCTGGCTCTGCCTCCTAAGTACTGGGATTAAAGGTGTGAGCCACCGCCATCCGGCTCTCATCTTCTTAAACTTATTTTTAAGGTCATTTTCTTGTGCTTCAGCTGTGTTAGAATGTTCAGGTCGGCCGGGCGGTGGTGGCGCCCGCCTTTAATCCCAGCACTTGGGAGGCAGAGCCAGGCGGATCTCTGTGAGTTCGAGGCCAGCCTGGACTACCAAGTGAGTTCCAGGAAAGGCGCAAAGCTACACAGAGAAACCCTGTCTCGAAAAACCAAAAAAAAAAAAAAAAAAAAAAAAAAGAATGTTCAGGTCTTGCTGTATGTTTTCACTCCTTGACCTATCCTTCTTCACTTTTTCCTGCCCCCTCCCTCCTAGCCTCTGGAAATCACTACCCTCTCATTTTTTAAAAAAGATTTATTTATTTACTATGGTATATAGTGTTCTGCCTGCATGCTACAAAGGGGCACCAAATTTCATTGTAAATGATAGTTAACCACCATGTAGTTGCTGGGAATTGAACTCAGGACCTCTGGAAGAGCTGCCAGTGCTCTTAACCTCAGAGCCATCTCTCCAGACCATTACTCTCTAATTCTGTAAGAGCAATTTAATAATAATTTACATAGCAAAAAGGTACAGCAGGGGAACTGCAAGGAGGCAGAAGGAAAGAGACAGTCATCTGGGCAGACATAAATGAACAGCTCAGTGAATTAAGAAACCATGGTGTATGTTTCCATTTGTACACATAAAAAAAAAGAAATACTTGGGTATAAACCTAACAAAATATGTACTATGGAAAAGAACCACAAAACTGATGGATGGGCTTGGTTGACTACAGTAATTAAAACCAGAGAGAGAGAAGCCACAGGTAAGAGGAAACTACTGGGTAGTGAACGATCGGCTCCCCCATTATTCCTGCAGTGAACAGCTTGGAGAGCTACTCTCTATACCCAGGCAACTTGTCCCTTGACTGAACCATTTTCAAAGTAAACTACATGTGTTTGGAGATCTTTTCCAAATTGCAGTCCACCTCTCTTAGCCGCTGTCTTATTTGCTAAGTCAAGCAGTTGTGAAGATTGACCCCATGAGCATGCTCAGTATACACAGGACCACTAGCTACACTCTCAGCTCTACTGGGGCCTGGTGTCACACTGACAGCAGCCAGCAGGAGAATGGATTTAAAACTTATTCCTGGGTCCAGAAATAGTGAATTTTTTTCTGCTACAAAATATATCCCATACTTCTTAACAATAATCATTTAAGCATTTGTTGAAAACAAGCTAAACATCTACCTTGCAAAATCAATACTATACTTTAGTCAGATTTTTTTTCAATAACACAGGTCTTAAATTTTACATGCTAAAAATTTTAACTGAGATTCTCCAATGCAAGGTGCCATCATAAATTTTCTAACAATAACAAAAACCTTCCTGTGAGCTACAGAGATGAATCAGCAGCTAAGTGCTGCTCTTGCAGAAGAGTGGAGTTGAGTTCTCTGGACCCATGTTGAGCAGCTCCCAACCACCTCTAACTACAGTGCCACAGAATCCAATCCAACACTTTGTTCTACACTCCATGGTACCTGCACACAGGCACGCATACCTAACACACATATTAAAGGAATAAATCTCTTTATTTTATTTATTAGTTTAAAAAACAAAAAGAATGTTCAGGTCTTGCTGTTGTAGGATCACTGGATTGTGGTGGTGCCATATTGCCCTTTCTGTTAATTGAATGTGTTCTTACACTGGCATTTAGGCATCTGGATTTGGGATGATTATAGGTCTAGGTGTTGATTCTTGCATTTTTCTTTGTTGGATGGGTGTTTTGTTCTTTTGTTTTCTGTTTCCTCTCTTGACTTCTTGCCTAAGTGGCCAAGGGTTCTGGTAATTATCAAGTCTTGGGGTCAGTAGGGTGTCTCCACTGATGTTTGTGGGGCCTTGGGTGCCCAAATCCAGCTTGGCTTCCTGTAAAGATAAAGTCTTCTGGGCCTATAGAGTCTGTTCTTCTTCTGACTAGTGTGGGCTGTACCTGTGCCTATGGAGTCTGCTGGAGTTGTGGGGCAGGATGGCCACAGGAAGGATGATGAGGTGGGTGAAGTTGGGCAGTAGAGTGGGTCTTGCGGGGACAGAATCCAGTGGGTGGTGGTGGTTCAGCTGGCAGGCAGGTCACTCACCTGCTAGCTGGTTGGTGGGGACTGCAGCAGAGCAGTGGAGTTGCACCAGAGTTGGGGCCAGGGCCAAGCAGTCTTGCTGGTGCTGAGATGGGGGGGCGGGGCGGGGGGACAACAGGATTTGCCCTGAGGTTTAGGGTCTGGAGATTGGGACACCTTAGGTGGAAGGCCGGTCACTCACCTGTTCTTCAGACTGATATGGGTTGTACCTGTGCCTATGGAATCTGTTGGAGTTGCAGGGAAGGGCTGGCCATGGGGAGGATAATGAGGTAGGTGGTGTTGGGTGGCTGAGTAGGTCTTGGGGGAGCAGAATCCAGTGGGTGGCAGTGGTCCAGCCTGCAGGCAGGCCACTCACCAGTTTGCCTGTTGGTGAGGACTGCAGCAGAGTAGTGGAGTTCCACCAGAGTTCAGATGTATTGTTTTTGCTCATTGAAGTTGTCACTGTTTGGTGGCAATACTGAACCATTTCTTTGAATTCTCTTCTTTGTCGTATGTGATACCTGAAGTCTCTGTTCAGTTAGTTTAATGCCTTACATATATGGAACCAAAAATTAAAGGCCCTGTTAGTCATGCCTCACTCAGCTGTGGGTAAATATAAGCATCAGGAACATGTAGTCTTTTAACTTTCTTGATCACATGAATTTCTTGTGGATGTTCCAAGGAAAGAACAAATTGATTTTGTTTGTTTGTTTGTTTGTTTTGAGACAGAGTTTCTCTGTTTAGCTTTGGTGCCTGTCCTGGAACTCACTCTGTAGCCCAGGCTGGCCTTGAACTCACAGAGATCCATCTGCCTGCCTCTGCCTTCGAAGTGCTGGGATTAAAGGTGTGTGCCACCACTGCCCAGTGAACAAGTTGAATTTTACTCTGTTAGAAGATTATAAGAACAGAGGAATATTCTAGAACTTTTGTTTTCATAGCTAATTCTAGTGGACTTCTGTTTAATGCTGGGATAATGCGATTGGTGGCAGCTCATGACTTCACGATTGGTTGTCAGTTGTGCTAGGTAAATCCCTCTTCCAGGTTACTTCATAATGAGAGCCATCCTACCACTAAACTCTTCCCAAGAGATGTGTGAGGGTCTCCTGCAGGCTGTAATACACATAGGCCTGCTGACACTGAAGACTTCTCTTTTTCCTTGCAGACCACACCACTCCAGAACCAGATGTGCTGGTACTTCAGCTAAGAAATGCTTGGTTATGGATGCTGATGATGAAGCTGTCTTGAACCTCATTGCTGAGTGTGAATGGGACCTAAGCAATCCTCCTGGGAGCACGAACTCCAGCCAAAAGGAACATGAGGCTGACCTTCATTATTCCCAAGGTACGCTGCTCAGCACAGTGAAGGCTCCATGGTTTAGGCAGGCTCTGGCTTCAGCAAGGACTTGGTGATGCTTATAGTATTGGCTTTGAATACTGTGTATTTGGACTATGGAATTACAAAAGGAAAAGTTAATGGATCTAAGTTGAGTCTAGCCATAATTGCAGTTTGAATTTCATTTTTTCTCAGAGCATAGGAAAAAAAATCGGATATAAACAAGAAAGCTAGACATCCACAGCACCTGTGAGGAGGAGCAGTCAGTCACTTGGCTCTGATATGCCAGTGCTCAGGAGCCTGATTAGGCCACTATACCTACCAGGATCTCAGAACTTATCACACTGTGTGAACTTAATATGCACCAGAGACTTGCTTATAAGTTTTAATTCCATGTCTTCTACTCCATGATGAGCTTCCTAGAGCCATCATACTGGGGCCAGCAGCTCCTGAGCCATATCTTCCCAATCCTGGTGTCCTCAGTCCTCTTAATCCTAATTCCTCTCATGGGTATGTTTATAACTTTACCTTGCCTTTCCCTTAAGGGTTTTGATGCAGTGTTGGCCATTTGTGTATCTTCTCTTGAGGTACGTTAAAGCCTGCCCATCCTGTTGTTCAATGGGCTCATTTCCCTTTTTGGTGTTGTATCATACAAATTATATGTGGATTTTAGATCTAAGACCCTTTCTCTCAATCCATTGATTGATTGCCTTTTCACTTTCATAGCAGTGCTTCAAAGAACAAATAAGTCCAATTAGTCACTTTTTTCTATAATAGAATGTGCTTTATTGTGTCCTAATATGAGACCTTTTTCTGCATCATGCTGTAGAAAGACTGCCCAGGTTTGCACACAGTCCACAATTTGAAGTCAGTGCTGAGTGACAAAAGTACTTCATTACTGATCAAGACCTCTCTGTGTAGTTGTTTTTGTTTTTGTTTTGTTTTGTTTTTCTTCACTCTTACTCTTTGCTCTCTGGGGGCCCGCTACCCAGCTCCCAGATAATCACACAGAGACTTATTCTTTCTAATGAATGTTCAGCCTTAGCTTGGCTTGTTGCCAGCCAGCTTTTCTTAATTTAAATTATCCTGTCTACCTTTTGCCTCTGGGCTTTTACCTTTTTCTCTTTCTGTATAACTTTTCTTTATTTCTTACTCCATGGCTTGCTGTGTAGCTGGGTGGCTGGCCCCTGGTGTTCTCACTCCTCCCTCACATTGTTTTCCTTCTATTTATTCTCCCTGCCTGCCAGCCCCACCTATCCTTTATTCTGCCTAGCTGTTGGCCATTCAGCTCTTTATTAGACCAAAAATCAGGTGTTTTAGGCAGGCAAAGTAGCACAGCTTCACATAGTTAAACAAATGCAACATGAAAGAATGCAACACATACTTGCATCATTAAACATATATTCCACAGCATAAATGGATATAACACATCTTCAACTAATATTCTACAGTATTTCCCCCTTCTTTTCTAAATAAAAATTAAAGGCCTTATCTTTAACATAGTAAAATTATATACAATAAGAACAATTATCAAGGATTACATTCACAATGTCCAGAGAAAAACTCCATTATCTATCCTATCTTAGTGAATCCAAAATTTTATACATAATTTACTTTCTATCATAACTAAGGAAAGCTGCAGCTCTAATTATTTAGTCTTTACTCCATCACAGACCCAAGAAGGACATAATATTACCTAACAACAGAAACATATGGCTTCATGGACAGTCACTCAAAGTTCCTCTGCAACTTGGGGCATCCATCTTCAGCCTGCAGGCCTAGAGTACTTGGCAGACTTTTCTATGAAGCAGGAAATTTGAAGGACTGCCCCACCTTAGAATGGCAAAATTCTGCCATCAATTTCCTGTGTGTCCAGCATGCCCAGTTTATACAGTATACTGTCAGCAGTCAAGGCAAAGCAGTTTCTTGCCCAAATGGCTAGTCTTGCCACATTGAAAGCAAACTCCATATGGTATTTCTATGCCCATCATCCTCTTATGAAGTAAATTGGTACTGCCATGAAAAACCTTAGATTAACAAAGCATTTTAAATGCCATATTCTATAGGTCTTTGAAGTGTTTGAAAATCATCTGTCTAAAATATTCCTTGAAAACATACCTAATATGACTACATGTTTGATAATTATAGATTAACTACTAACAATTTCTTAATTATACATTGCATTTTAAAATGAGCTGCATAAGCACAAAACCCCAAATAAGAGTGGAAACATATATACAGTATAACAAAAATATAAAAAATACAATATTTTAAAAAATTTAGTATCAATATACTAAAATCCATGCTAATGCAAAATATCTGAGATTAATAGTTGTCTTTTTATCCTGTATTTCTTTATTTCCCTAAATGATAACAAACATCCATAACCCACCAAATAAACAAAGACCACCCACCCAATATCTTGGGAATGTGGACATTGTGTCTCCAGACTGCTTCCTGTTGTCTGTGGGTGAAGGCATCTTTAGGGCTCTCTGAGAAAATAGATAATGGCCAAGTCCTGGAAGACCAGTTATGACCTTTGTTGATAGATATCACCTGTCAAGTTTCAGGAGATTTTTGCTGATCAAACCTGATTCATATCAACCTTGAAGGAATCTACGACCTCTCATTTCCACATGTGGAAACAAAAGCAAACCTCTTCTCCAAACTATTTCATTTTAAAGTTAAGGCATTCTTAAACTATCTAGGTTGGATTATTTCAGCAGTCCCTTTCAGAAATTATTTAGGTCCAGCCTCTTTAATTTCCTTCCCAGGGGCCCAGAAGAGATGTTACTGACGGCAGGGGTATTCTTTGGGAAAATGATCTAAGTACACGATGCTCTTTCATTTGTCTACTTTATTCCTCTGAGATTATAGCTACACAGCTTCAATTCTATTCTTATACTTAGCTCCTTTCTGTCTCTTCTCCTTCTGTGTTCTCATAACTCTAACCCTTTTCTATCCTCGTCCTCATCTTCCTCATTCTTCTCCATCTTGGTACCTTCCCTCCTCATCTGGAACTGGTCTCTCCTACCAGCAGCTTGACCTGACAATACAGTGCAAAGCTTCCAAGGTACCTACAAGAGCTGTGATGGCCAGCTTCATTTGCAACCCAAAAGGAGAGTGAATAGAGGAGGTGATGTCAGATAAGGCCTGGAATAAATCAGGAAGGAATTTATGTGCTCAAAATGTATTCTTATAAGTGGTTAAGTGAAAAATTACTAGTTTATCATAAATGTGCTCAAACTACAATATTACAGGTGGTTAGGTAAAAGAGTCTATAAGTCATTAAAATAAAACTGCTTTTATTGTCCTATGCAGCCAAACACAGGCAGGGTGGGGTGACTCTGCTCAGAGCTAGGAAACCTGTCTCAAAGCTGCTTTGCACCTTGTATGCAAAAAAAAAAAAAAAAAAGTTCTGAGTCAGTTGCTCTGGAATGCCATTTGGGCTGTGAGAAAAAGGATCTCAGCTTCATTTGCACAAGAAACAAAGCTATATCTAGGATGCTAGAGAAGAATTTTAGGTAAATTCACTCTTAGAAGTTCTTAGAAGCATATATTATAGCACACAAGAAAATTATTGCAGGAACTGGCTAATATATATACAAAAGCTAAAATAGCACCAAGACTTTTTAAGCCATGGCCTGACCTTCAGAAAAGTCCTTGACCTTTCTAAGTAGTAGCTTTAGTGATAGTAGCTGGATTCCATACATTTTCCTGTAGCTTGCAGCAAGTCCCTCTTTCAATTCCATGTCTCTTAGCAGCCATCATTTGCTTATCAGCAATCAAAAAATTCAAGGTCAATACAGCAACATACAGGATCCAGACTCCCTGTGTATATCCCATCTCTATGTGGCTTATTCGTTATTATTTTACTTATTGATTTAAAGACTATTATTTTTAAACTCTTTCTATCTATGACCGTCTATATCTGTTTTCTTTTGTTAAGCCTACACACATTGTTAAACAAGTATGTTTAGAAGTTTTTTTCATCTGGATATGTCTTTACTGCATATCTCTAGTCTTTTTGGACGAATGAATCTTTAAACTGCTAAGTGGCTCAGCTAGGACCTCTGCACAGCTCAGGTGGCTGTTTCAGCTTGCTTCAAGGGTAATGAGAGCCAAGCCTAAAGCTCAGGGCCCAGTTGGAGGTGTGTTTGACTAGGAACTGCATTCAACCCCCCAACTCTGTAATTAATAGGAATTCCAACCACGCCCCATGGTCATGCATGCCCAGCAGGACACTTAGTCATCTCCACCTAGTCATTTCTGGGTCATACGTCCTGTGTAACCCATGCCCCATGGTTATGTGGTCACGTCACAGACATGACCACGTGATCTCTGTGTGTGAGCCTGTGTGCCCAGGTGCATCCTGGCCTTTATAAGACGCAACCATGTTCCCTCGGTCTCTCTCTCTGCACCTCTCTATCTGTGTTTCCTCTCCACCAGGCCTGGCCTGCTCGTCTGCCCTCTCTCTCTCTCTCTCTCTCTCTCTCTCTCTCTCTCTCTCTCTCTCTCTCTCTCCCTCCCTCCCTCCCTCCCTCCCTCCCCCCCTCACCTTCCCCTTGTAATAAAGCTCTAAACCACTGGGTTCTGTCATGATCGTGGCCTTTCCACTCAGTAGCCAGCGCCAGCCACCAGCACCATTTTTCCTTTCAGTAATGCCAGTGCACGGCACTGTGGCAGGCATTTTTCACTTAAAGGGGGAAACTGTGTCAGTGTTCTGCTGCAAGGCAGAGGTTCTTAAGGGAGTCAGATCTGTTTTTTTATTTTATTTTTTTTTCCCCCAGCTTTCTCAGGCCCTAGGGATATTCAAGCCCCAAGTTAGGTGTCAAAATGTGGTTGATTTTTTTCTTTTTTTTTTTTTTTTTAATCTTACTCTGCTCTTTGGGGGTCCACCACCCAGCTCCCAAATAATCACATGGAGACTTATTTTTTCTTATGAATGCCTGGCCTTAGCTGAGCTTGTTGCTAGTCAGCTTTTTCTTAACTTAAATTATCCCTACCTTTTGCCTCTGGGCTTTTATCTTTTTCTATTTCTGTTTATCTTTACTTCTTACTCCATGACTGGCTCTGTTGCTGGGTAGCTGGCCCCTGTCATCCTCCTCTCCTCTTTATTCTATTCTCTCTGCCTGGCAACTCTACCTATCCCTCTCCTGCCTAGATATTGGCCATTCAGCTCTTTATTAGACCAATCTGGTGTTTTAGGCAAAGTAACACAGCTTCACAGAATTAAACAAATGCAACATAAAAGAATGTGATACATCTTTGCATCATTAAACAAATATTCCACAGCATAAATGAATGTAACACATCTTTAACTAATATTCCACAACATCTCCCACTTCTAGTTATTCTGAGCATCTGTTGAAAAGAGTAATCATGTATCACTCTGGATATTTGTTGAGGCAGTTGGCCTGCATCTGTTTCCTGATCTATAAATCCTGTCTTCCCATACACTGCCACTCCATCTTGGTTACTTGGGATTGAGTCTTGTCACCCTTGAGTACTGCCGTTTTCCTACCTGTGGAACTACCTGGAATTCACTGCAGTGTTGACCTGCTATATTAACCTACTAGACTTCCTTGTCTTATTTAATTGATTTAAGGAAGGTGTATATTTAATAGATTTCATATACTCTCACAAACTTAAAATGTAATTTCTAATGAAGTAAAACTTTAAATGTTTTTAATAAAATAGACTCCGGACATCTATTGAGTCCTTTGTCCATCCAGCATCAATGTGGGGACTCAGTGAGGAGAGGCCATGAGAAGAAGAAAGGCACCTCCAGAGGGTGCTGTCCAGGTCATTCACCACAGGACCAGCTCTGTGGGGAGCTCACCCCACAGCATGGAGTGCTGGAGGCCTGCCATGTGCATGTGCCACACACCCGCTTTACTTCACACCCAGGTAATCGCCTGATCCTGCCAGGGCCTTTCTAAGTAGTTATACATTAGTCACAGTGTTTGCTACAACTCTGAAATTTTTCCTGATATCTTTATACTTATATATGAAGTTCTAAAATATCTTTGGAAAGGATTTTATTGGAATTTATCATACACCCATATCTTAGATTGCAAGTTTGAAATTTCTTGGTATTTTTCCCACTGTGAACACATACTCTTACTCTGCCTCTCACATTTCTCTCTGTCCTTGTCTAGCCCCATAGGCACACACTTTCTTCTAAATACACAGGCCAAGCTCATTACAGTAGCTACATTTTTAATACCAAAGATGAGGAAGATTCAGTAAGTTAATTGAGAGTACCATGAGCATCTATAAGTATGTATAAGTATGTATAAGTATATGTATAAGTAGTATAAGTATGAAAACTTCCCACATAAATAAATCTGTTGTCTTGAGGCTTCTTGTTTTAGTCACATTTGTGAGACCTTCAGAAGTACAATGGTTCAGTAATGTGGCTTTCTAGAATTCTGGGCTGTGGTTAAGCCAGGGTTATGCTGTTGTACCTGTTTCGCAAAACCCCCAGAGACCACCAAGGAGCTAGTTTTCCGATGCAAGCACATAAGGGTCCTTTTATTCAGGTTTAACCTGGGCCACCGTACAGCAGATGGAAGGAAATGTGGCAGCGGCCATGAACCCAGGTGTAGAGGGTTTTTATAGGGAAAAACCACAAGCCGGGAATTGGCAACTTGGGATTGGGTAGAAGGGGCAAGGTGATTTTTTGAAACTGTTGGTCTAGACTTTGGGCGCGAAACCACATTTGAAACCATTGAGTTAGACCTTTGGCGGGGAACTACAACCTGCAGAACAGGATTATCTGGACTGCTCAGCAGGATTATCTAGATATCTTCAAGGGCCTAACTGCAGACAGGATGTCTGCAGGAGGATGCTGCTCTGTATCCCTTGCAGTTGTCATGGCACATTCCTGAGCCTGTAAAGTTAAATCTAGACCTTCACAATGCCCCTATGCAGTGCCTTCCCTGTGCAGTTCCCAAGACAAGCATATCTGCCCCTCCAAGAGGGCTAGTGAGCAAGTGCATAGGATGCCCTGTGTCATTTGGTCATCCTGGCCCATTTAATCTCTTGGAAATGCACATACGTGATGTTGTATAGAGAACTTTGTTGACCTGATTCTGTTGACCTGATGCAGAGCAAGTACTCAAAGAAGACGGCTACTTAATAAGGATAGAGTCTGTCTACTTCATCCAGGCTTTCCTGGAAATCCATGTTTTTATGACATTGCTCCCCTGTGTGCCTCCCTCCTTTTACCTCCTACTTCTTCCTCTTGTGTGTCTTTATGTGTATGTAGGTGCATAGATACTCTTGTGTTTGTTGCATATGCATGTGTTTGATGGACACACATTCACATTTGTGGATGTATTTTTTTTTATTATAATAGCAGCCTCTATATCCCAGAGAATTCAGTCTAATGAGGACTCTGCTCACTTTCTCTGTATTACAGACTCTATGGATGTTGAGGACTGTGGTTCATCTTCTCAGAAATCAAGTTTGTCATCACAGAATATTTTAAATTCTTTGCCTGTTCCTGAAAAGTACAGGAAGCGAAGGATGCCTGGTGGGAGATTCCAGGTGCCTTCAGACCGGGAGTGTCTGAGCTGCCTAGAGAGGGCTGATGTACCCTCTGGCCTCAAGGAAAATCTGAGCAGACAGGATGGCATGGAGAGCCACAGTCAGGTGGCCTTGTCTCATCCTGAGTCTTTGGAGGCTGAAGAGCAGACATCTCATGGCACAAGTGACCCCAGAGTGGTAAGCAGCTGGAGCAGAGGGGTCAGCAGCTAGAGACATGCCTGTGGTGATATGTTGTGTATCAAATAAAGCTTGCCTGAGGATCAGAGGACAGAGCCAGCCACTAGATTAAACATAGAGGCCAGGCAGTGGTGGCACACACCTTTAATCCTAGCACTCAGGAGACAGAGATCCAGATGGATCTCTGTGAGTTCAAAGCCATCCTGGACTACATGAGATTGGTCCAGTGTAGGAGAGAAACAGAGCCAGGCAGTGGTGGCACACGCCTTTAATCCCAGTACTTGATATCTCATGCCTTTGCTACTAGTATTTGGGAAGCACACACACCAGTAACCCCAGCACTAGGAAGGTTGATACAGGAAGTGATATGGCTAGGCAGAGAAAGGCATGTAAGGCAGAGGAGACAGGAACTGGAGACCCCCTTTCAACTGAGGACTCAGGGTCATTCAGTAAGAAGTTTCGTGGAGTTGGCGAGGTGAGAAGTGGCTGTGGCTTGTTTCCTCTGGTCTTTCATCATTGACCCCAGTGTCTGGCTCTAGGTTTTACTAAGACCATGCGAGCATGTGCCTCATTCCCAGTCAGTGTGGATAACAGCGCAGTTGTCTTGCTTGCCAGGTCTTATATTTCAGTGCTAATTGTGACTCCACAGTGAAAGTTGCTATTAAACAATTTCTGGTACTTGGTCACATGCATGCCTGTACTAGTGCTCTGGTTCTGAGAGGCAAGTACAGCCACACAGTAGAGGTGATTTTCCCATATTTACATTTGTCTCAAAAGTTGGAATCAGGGTTTATGGCAAGTGAATCATCAGTAACTCTGTTATGAATGGAGAATCCTGGAAATATATTTTATGGTTTCCGAAGGATACATTCCTGCTGAGGGAATTAAGAATTCTCACACCCTCAAGGACACAGAGGCTTCCTAGAGGGGCTTCAAGGTGGTTGAGTCTTTGATTGGTCCTAAGCTGGACTGAGGCAAAAATAAGGGAAGCATGTACCAGGCCTTTACTTTGGGGCCACCACTCAGCTCCCAGATCATGACACAGAAACTAATTAGTTATAAATGCTCAGCCTAGCTTAGGCTCATTATGGCTAGCTCTTTTAACTTAAATTAACCTGTTTCTCTTTATCTATCTTTTGCCTTGGGTCTTTTCTTTCCTTCTCTGTGTCTGACTTTCACTGCTTCTGGTGTCTGGCTGGCTTCTCGCCCTGGGTGTGTCCCTCGTTCTCTCTTCTCTCCTTTCCGAGCCTAGATTTCCCCTCCTATTTATTCTCTCTTCCTGCCAGCCCCATCTCTCCTTTCTCTGCTAAGCTATTGGCTGTCCAGCTCTTTATTAAACCAGTCAGGTGCCTTAGGCAGGCAAGGTGAAATAAATGCAACACATCTTTACATAATTAAACACACATCCTTACATCATTAAACAAATACAGCATAAAGGCCAGGCAGTGGTGGCACACTCCTTTAATCCCAGCACTCGGGAGGCAGAGGCAGGTGAATCTCTGTGAGTTCAAGGCCAGCCTGGTCTACAGAGCTATCTCCAGGACAGCTAGGGCTGTTAAACAGAGAAACCCTGTCTCAAAAAACCAAAAAAAAAAAAAAAAAAAAAAAAAAAAGACAAAAAAACAAATGCAGCATAAACAAGTGTACCACACCTTTTCACAGTTAAAATAATATTCTGCAGCATAAACAAATGTAACACATCTTTGCCCAGTTAAAATAATATTCCACAACAGAGGATGGCTATTTATAGCCATAGTTAAGGTGACTTCTGGGATTTCTGGGCCATGTTAAAGACAGTAGTTAGTTGACTACAGTGTTAGTTGGGGGCTGTTTTCATATGTGATGTGACCATGTTGATTTGCAGCCTCTGTTTCTCGGGTTCTGGATTGGGGAAAAGAAGGGAAATGGGGGAGGGGAGTGCTATGCTGTCACAGCCTCATGAGGAGCTAGCTTCACAAATGGGTGTCTCCAAAGAAGGTGTCTCTTGTTCTCAGCCCAAGGTTGTGACTCTGGACATGGGTTTCTTCCATTATGGAGACAAGCATTTTATACTCCGGCATGTTGTGTTAGAGACTTAGCTTTTGCAGTGAGCTGCCACCGTAAAGCCAGTCTTAGGCTTGTGTCTTCATTGTAGCTGTCTCCTAAACTTGGCGTGGCTGCAGTGCCTGAGCAGAGGCCTGCTCTGGAAGTGGCACTCCTGGAGGCACTCCTCGACCTAATAGACAGGTGCTCAAGCGGCAGTGGATCCCTGCATGGCAACGAGGCATTCCTTGGTGAGTCCTGGCAGCATCTATTGGTAGATGCTGCTCAACTGCTAGGTTTGGGGCTCTCAGTGTTCACACAACCTGGGGTTCCAGAGAAATGGATAATTATTCCCATGCCAGATAACAGACGTCCTCTGGTGAGTATTGCATGTTTGTTATGTGTCCTACCTACTGTCGCTGCCCTTCTTGGTGGCTGGAGGGCTTTGTTTCTAAGGGCTACCACCTGCCATGCTACAAATGCTGTGCCCATCGTTGGTCTCTAATTACTCTGGCATTTTATGGGCACTTGGAAGGCTGGGAAACTATCTGCTGTCTTCTGATTTTCTAGGTATGTCTGGTTGAGTACAGGACCCTGGACTCACAAAGCTTCAGATATGTGATAGGAACCCAACAAGATTATTTTCCCTAGTGAGTCTCAAATATTATTAATGGACCAGCCTTGGGTCTATTTGCTTCTGCAGACTGGAGATTCAGGATGAGAATGTGCTAGGGTACTTCATGCAGTATTGTGCTCTGAGCCTAGGCAATGGCTGCTTTCTCCAGAAGCCTGGGCTACATGTAAGTGTCCTTTGGGAGCCAGGCCCATCAGCACTGAGCTGCCTAAGCTACTTCCTACCATGGCTTCTGTCTTAATCAGGGTTAGTATGGCTGTGATGAAACACCATGGCCAAAGCAACTCAGAGACGAAAAGATTTATTTGGCTTATTCTTCCACATCACAGTTCATCATCAAAGGAAGTCAGGACAGGAACTCAAACAGAGTAGAAACCTGGAGGTAGGAGCTGATGCAGAGACCATGGAGGGATACTGCTTATTGCCCTGCTCCTCATGGCTTACTCAGTCTGCTTTCTTACAGAATCAGGACCACCATCCCAGAGATGTCTATCCCCCCACCCCCACCATGGGCTGAGCCCTCCCCCATTAATCATTAATTAAGAAAACACCCTACAGACTTGCCTGCAGCCCCATCTTATAGGGCATTTTCCTAATTGAGGTTCTCTCAGATGATTTTAGCTTGTGTCAGGTTGACTTAAAGTAGCCAACAGTTCCTGACCACTACCCTCAGGGGTTGGGGCTGTGACCCTTTTAGTTATTCCTGGATCAGAAACCTGGGAACTGCAGTACTGGATCCTGGTGACTGTACATCTATTCTTTAATCAGGGCCAGTGTCTTGTTGCAGCAGAAGTGGTCTGTGGTAGCTGTGATGGTTGTGATGCTGTTGCCACCTTGGAGTTTTCAGGCCAGGCTACCACATACTCACCACATCTTCCTGATGTGGCTACCTGGCATATGCAGCCTTCTCTTGAGGGTTGCCTTTTTGTAAATTAAAAGCCAAGTCCGTTATTCTCATAGAGAAACAAGCAAGGTGGTTTCAAGGTACCAGTGTCTATTTTTTCCTGTGCTCTGCTTTCAAGTCGCATAGCTATGTAATGAGCATTTTTGTTTTTTATGTCCCATCCTTTAGCTGTGATATGCTAACTGTACTTCCTTTTGACTTCCAGCTCAGGCCAGGCATGTTTTGTCATCTCTTCAAGACTTCACAGCAGCTCGGGACAGTTCGGCACTTGAAAAGGAAGAAATTAGTTACCTCTCTCTTGAAAATAAGTCTCTGCAAAGCCGCCTCGCTGAGCAGCAGCAGCAGTACACTGCTGCGGTGAACAAGGTGACGGCGGAACTCAACAGTTCAAGGAAGGAGCTGGTGAGCAATGCTCTGTGTTGTTTGCATTTGTTCACGGGATGAGGGAAAGACAGATCTGGCCCACAGACCAAGGGCAGTGCTGACTGTTCTGCTCCACAGCCACTCCTGGGCTCCCTCTTGCTGCTCCAGACCAAGCAGTTTCCCCCTATTAGCAGTTGTTGGATCCAGGGATCCACTTGACTGTTTCACACCCAGGTCCCAGAAAACAGTGAATCTGTGATGGTGTTGCTGCTGATTGCCAAAATTCTACCTGGTACTCTCTTCTTAGAGAGTCTAGATGGAAGAGATGGGGGAAGAAGAAATGAACCAGACTCATTCTGTCCCTGACATAGGCTTCTCAGTCCCATGTGGTTCCAATTATCTGGGTCATCTGTGGTCTTTTCTCTGTTGTGCACCAACCAGGCAACATTAGAAAGTTGTGTCTGAGTCTCGGGGACTCTCTAACACCAGATGGTACCCAGAAAGAACCATACAAACTTGGACCTGGCCTCTAAGTTGATCTTATGGGGTGTATTGTGTTTAAAGTATTGGGGTGTCCTCACTTCTTTTAAGTTTGTGTTGATGGTTGAAGGGTTGGACCACAGGGCCAGTGCATCCACCAGAGCAAGTACTAATCTTCTACTTAGCTCTGTGGCATTGTAGTACATAACCTCAAAATGATCCATGGACCAACATGGCTGTGGCCAGCTTCTGCAATAGACTGAGATTAACTAAGTATAAGTCAGTTGCCAAAACTCAAGACTCTCATCTGAAAGCCCAACAGGTCAGGATCTACTTCAGGCTTGCTCACAGAAGGTCTTGATGACATGTGAGCCTCTGTGTGGGCTGCAGGAGTCTTCATGATACCAAGAAGGGGATACAAGTCTGTACCCTCTCTGCCAGTGGATTGGTCCACCCCTGGCAAGGTCAGCACCTAGGAACCATGTACACTCTGGGTTAGTGGGTCCCTGCAGCAGCTGCCTGGCTTGTCTCCTGCATTAGTCACCTGTTTTGTAAAATAGATGAATATACAACAGTATTTCTGGGGGAAATTTAAAGTTGCCTGACAAATAATATCTTCATTTTGGGAAGATCTACACAAGAGATGACACTTGGAATCTCATTTTAGAGAAAACCAAAGAACAGTGAACTGACACAGATGGTCTCTGGTATTGAAAGCACTGTGGATCTCCTGCATGTGCACAGAGCTCTTGCATCTGGAGAGGGCCAGAGCCCAGTGTGCCTGGACTGCAGTGCTATGCAGAGTATTGTCTATGTGGGATTGTTGGCTCCATGGGACACAGTATAGTCTTACAAGAAAACAATCATTAGTACCTGTTAAGGCAGACACCGTGAGTATGAGTCACCCTGCTGGATGTGGAACAGCAGCACCCAGAAAGATAAAGTCCAGAAGTCAGCATTGCCCTGCTGCAGTATGGAAGTAACACACAGAAGTGTCTATGCTGAAGGGTAGCCTTAAGTGCCAAGACAGGAATAGGCTAAAGTTCCCTGTCTTTTTGAGTGAGCTGAGCCTTGCTTCTGGTTATCAAGCCTTGGAGAAGAAGGAGTAGCCTAGCACATGGATCAGGAGTTCATATGGTAAAAACCACCTCCTTGGACAGCTGGGAAAGTGCATATAAAGGACCAACAAGAGCCACTATCCAGAGTGACTGAACAAGTCCTCCTGAGCTTCACAGGGTAGAGACATTAATCTGCATGGAGCTTCCTGTGACACCTAGAATTATGTCTTGAGGCAGAGGCTCTGCCCCTAACCTGGTATCCTAAATAGTTTCCAAGGCAGATGTACCTGCCCAGTCTGGATGTGTTCAGTCCCCTGCTGCCTTTGCCCGATCACATGATTGAGAGGTCGGAGCCAGCACAACCCAGCACTGAGAGCTAGTGCCAGAAGGAAGAGCCTATGTGGGGACCTCATTGCAGGAGGTGCTTTGAAAGGAAGACTTAAAGCTGCAGCTGAGTTTTATTAGGGTATTTTGTTGAATAATAAGAGTTCTTTATTTTCTTTTTTTTAAGTTAGAGGAATTTTTGGTTTTTGTTTTGTTTGGGGGATGTCATTCCTCAGCTTAAAGTGCTGGTTCTCACTCCTCTTTTCCTGGTGGGAGGCATGGGGTCCTGTCTAGAGCCTAGACCTTTATGAGTATGTCTGCTGGTACCTGAGCTGCAGGTGGGTGAGTACAGATCTGTGGGAGCCCTGACTTTGCAGGCAGCTTGCATGGCTCCTGTCGAGAAGCCTGGTGACTTTCGGCACCTTTGCAACATTACTGGCTCTAATGGTGGTCCTGGTCTCTGTCGTATGTTTCAGTCTTAACACCCCAGTTTACGTTCAGCATTTTCCCTGCCTGTGAAGATTCTCAATTCCAACTTGTGATAGGGGATAACTGATGGGATCCCCACATTTGTAGACCAAGAAGCCAGATCATAATGGAGTTCCCATAGGAAGGATACCAGTAATACTGGTATAGTATAGAAGCCCTGAGGGATCTCTGTTACAGTGGAATCCTCATGGAGGGAGAGGACCCACCAGCTATCAGTCATTGCTCTTCTAGTATCGCACCTGAATTCCTCTGATATATATCCCACCTGCCCTCTCCCCTTTCCTCATGTCCTTCCCCTTCCAGTGGGGAGTTAGAGTAGCCTGCTGGTGGGAGAATATGCTTGAGTGTGATTTTTGCTTTATGTTGTGATTCAGAATTATACTATGGAAAGGGAAACTTGAGTCTATGGTGAGTGTCCAAAATTTTATTCCATTCGTTAAATATATTGACTGAACTTGACTTGTCTACATTTGTTTTCTATGCTTCTAGGACACATTGAGGCAACATTTAGACAAATCTTTGGAAGAGAATAGTAACTTAAAATCTCTTCTATTCAGCGTGAAAAAAGAAGTAAAAAATTCAGACACATCAGCTGCATTAACTTTGCAGATCACTGGTAAGTGTACAGTTTATTTGGTAACACTACTTGGTAAAATTTGAGTGCTCATGCATGCATTGTTCTAAATCACTTTATGCCAGGAGTTGAATCAGTAAATACTGTCTGAGTGGGTCTAGAGACCCAGTCCAGTTGTTAATGGCTGCCTATAGCAGCCAATCTGGGGCCGTGTGTGGAGGTAACTTCTTTGGCTCTTTCCACCACCATCTAGATCTTGACTCTTCTGCTTCCTGAGAAAGCAGGTGTCTTGATGGCTGTTTATGATCACTGTTTCTTTCAGGTCCAGATAATTTTTATTTCTTTCTGTATTTTTTGGGGTGTTTTGTTTTTCCATTTCAAAAAGAGTCGAGCCATCTGTGTTTCAGAAGGGCAGACTGTTGAGCACACATTGCTCTTGTTTCAAGGGAAGCTTTAAAGAGCCAGGAGGTGTAGATGTAACCAACTGTCTTATTAAATAAGAAACACAGAACCAATGTAAAAAAGAAAGCCAAGAGATCAGAGCTCAGAGCTAAAACCTTACCCTTCCTCCTGCGGTGGTCCTACCTCTCTGAAAAAGACCTACTTCCTGTGAGTTTGTCTTGATAAAGTCTTTCTGTTCTGCCTTCTCATTGGTTGTAAACCCAGACACGTGACTGCCTCGTCACTGCCTGTAAGTACAGCCCTCCAGGTCTTAAAGGCGTGTGTCTCCAGTGCTGGCTGTATCCCTGAACACACAGAGACTTATCTAGCTCTGCCTAGCAAGTGCTGGGATTAAAGGTGTGCACCACCACCGCCATGCTCTTTCTATGGCTCTAATAGCTCTGACCCCCGGACAACTTTATTTATTAACATACAATTAAAATCACATTTCAGTACAAATAAAATACCACCATAAGGAGGTAACTGCCTCCTGCCTGATCCTTTGTACCTCAGCCTTTGCAACACAAAGCGCTACAGCTGAGGAGTGCCACCCAGTCTGATTCTTGAACCAAGTGTCTCTTCGGATTTCTTGCTGCTTGCTATTATTAGGATGTTTTGTTGAATAATGAGTTCTTTATTTTCTTTTTTTTAAGTTAGAGGGGATTTTTGGTTTTTGTTTTGTTTGGGGGATGTCATTCCTCAGGTGCCATCCCATTTTACTTATTTCTTTTCTTTTTGAGATTATAATATATCATTTTTCCATTCCCCTCCCTCCCTCTAGACCCTTTCATATACCACTTTCTTTCAAATTCATAGCCTCCTTTTTCATTAATTGTTGTTATATGCATATATGCGTATGCATGTATATGTGTATGTGTATATATTCCTAAATACAACCTGCTCAGTCTATATAATGTTACTTGTATGTATGTTTTCTGGACTGACCATTTGGTATTAAGTAAAATGTTAGTGTACTCTTCCCTAGGAAAGACTATTTTTCTCTTGCTCCCAGAATTCCTTAGTTGGCTATAGTTCTTTGTGTAGGGTTGAAGCTTCATGGTCTTTCCCTGTCCACTTAGGCATGTCTGTTGTTCAGCTCATGTTTAAGCAGTCGTGTTGACAAGATTTTATGGGTGTAGCTTCTGACATTACCAGGAGACACAGTCTTAAGCCAGCCCCATGATCCTCTGGCTCTTACAGTCTTCCCCACACCCACCCCTCTTCCACAATGTTTCCTGAAACTTAAGTGTAGTGAATTGTTTGTAGATGTGGACTGAGCTCCACAATTTTGCATTTTGATTGATTGTTGTTTTCTATAATCTGTTGCAAAGAGACATTTCCTTGATGAGGGGTGAGGACTATATTTATCTGTGGATATAAGGACAAATATAATTTAAAGTGTAGTTAGGGATTATGCTGATTTGGTAAAGTGATGGTTGTAGGTTTTCCTCCAAGATTCATGACGTCACTAGCCCTAGGTAGTTGGCTAGGTTTCCAGTACCAGGCATGGTTTCCCTCTTGTTGAGTGGGTCTTAGGTCCATAATGAAAGCTGTTGGTTATTGCCAAGGTATGCATGCCACTCTGCATCCTTAGGGTTAATCCTGCCATGCTGGTTGTTTCTATGAGACATTACTTGTATTGTCTTGGTTCTATTCCTTCTAGCCTTGCCCTCACTTCTTATGTGATACTCTCTATTGCTAATCTAGCATGAGTTTTCTGACATTCTCTAATTCTGGTTCAGGTTGCTCTTTTTTTCTTGTGTCATCTTATGTTTGTCTTGACTCATTTTGAAATGGTGGGTGGGGAGTGGGGGTGGACCTGCTTTGTGGACCTGGCTCTCAGGAGCTATGATTCCTCACACTCCTGCTGTGGCTGCAGGACTTTTCTGTCATTCATTTTACATGACACTTGTCCTTCAAGCAGATAAGCCATGGCACCTTTTCTGAATGTATGGATTAGAAATACAGCATCCTCCTTTTGGGAATTTCTTGGTCCTCCCCTCCCTTCTCTCTGTTGTCATGGTTTGCTCTGCCTTTTCCAATAGCAGCTGTTTTTCCCAATGAGGACCCTGTTCTAAAAGGGACTGGGATGGCCAACTCCTTAGACTAAGTGGACACCTGGTCTCCCCCTCACTAGCAACATGAAACCTTCACTTAATCTACCATAGTCCTGTCACTGGCCCAGGAAAATGGGCCTTTTGGGTCTCTTCCACATTGTATCTGTCAGATGCCCCACTAATGACAAATACCCCCATAGACATAGACATCTTGCACTTCCATACCTCTGGGGCTTGGCCTAGTCCCTTGGATTAGGGACTTGATACTCCTCTGGGGTTCGGGTTTTCATCTAGCTTTCTTGAAGTTTGGATAATGTGGGGCTCTTGGGAGGCCCTGAGACCACTGCTGTCTTCCCTAGAACACCTTCCACCTCTGCTCTTGCCACAGACATCCCAGATGTTTGTACACTGCTAATTGCTGAGAAGTGTATGCCAGTGTCATTGCCAGCCTCTGCCACACTGTCCTTTCTGGCTTTCCTGATGTTACTGATGCTGTATAGTTTCACAGCCTTGTGTCTTCATACGGCTTTATCTGTGTCCTTTGTTCAGATGTGGGGAGCCAATAAATGAGGTATCTCTTTCCCCCTTGAGATGGAAACTCAGAAATAAGAGTCACATAGATTGAAAGAGAACACCCACAGATGTAATCAGTGGGTACATCAGCTATATGGCCACCACAGACTTCATAATGCTTCTCCCTAAGCCATAGGCTCCCTCATGGGTGCAGGTTGATTCCTGAAGGAGACTCTGCAGGCAGATCCAGTGGAGGAGTCTTCTGCTGGTGCCAGGTCTGTATCTGTCATCACCTTCTGTGTGACTCCTCAGGCTTACCAGCTTTAGGGTATCAGGTATGGGTAGCAGGGGTATTAGTTCCCACAGAGGGAGACAGTTGTTGCCTTGATACTCTTCACCCCCATCTTTGTGTCTCTGATACTCTTTCTGGCTTTAATTTAAACCAGAAGGGTCAAAATGTGTGAATGAACATCATTACACAGTACTACTTCCTCTCTTCCTCCCTCAGGACTTCAGGCAAGTATGAAACAGCTCTCAGGGGAAGTTGTGGAGCTGAAGCAGCACTTGGAGCACTATGACAAGATCCAGGAGCTCACACAGATGCTGCAAGAGAGTCACAGGTCCATGTCTGAGTGGGCTACAGGGGTGGGGTGAGGGCTGAGGCACGGGATGTGGGGCACCAAGAAACAGCTGGCAGTATCTCTCAGGAGTTGGTGTTCAGGACCCACATGCATTGCCATGTTAACTTTGCACATCAATGAGTATTTCCTTCTTGGTAAAAATTGAGATGATGGTGACTGCAAGGAGTGCACTCTGAGGTATAGCCTGGAAAGTCTGCAGCCTGAGGTGTACATGAACCAGGAGGTATGGACTAGGAAATCTGAGGGCTAAGTACATGTGTGGCATGTACTTTCCCTTTCACTGCAGTCCATGGCTGTTCACTTAGAAAAATGGAAATTATATTTCTACTTCTTCTGTGTGGGTAGTCAAAGGGGGACTAGGAACGTCGGGTTGGGCAAGGCAGACCCTCGCTTTATTGAAGAAGTTTCTTCTGGGAAGGAGGCAACAGGTCATCAGAGCAGCCCTGTTCCTGGAGCCTCCGGTGGGGAGGGCTGGCCTGTAGTCGTTGTTTCCTACCAGGTGACCACATACCTTTATGTGGAGCCGAGCTAAGCCGAGCTCTCCCTCCACAGGCCCGAGTCACAGTGGTGGAGGGAAAGGCTGAGACTCAGGAGGGAGGAATGGAAGGAAGGAATCAGAGCTGCTCATTTAGGGGCAAAAGCAATAGATCCAACGGGCCATCTGTGGTACATCCAGTGACATCGGTGGTTGAGCTCTCAGCATCCGGGCCCAGATACGGGCAGAACAAGGTGCAGAACTCTGAAGACAGTGGGATCAGGCTTTGGTCCACTCATGTGTGTGCTGATGTTATTCAGCAGCCATTTCTGTGATTTAAGCAAACAGGGCCAGCACCTGCTTAGTAGATTATTCAGTGGGGTGACTGTTCAAAAGTGGCAGAGGTTAGTATTGCCTTGCTTTATCTAAACTTGTGATGCTGCTCACTATGGACACCTTGGGGAACTGAGCAGTGTTGAGAAATTGTGAAAAATGCACTAGCATTCTGAATCCAGCTCTGCACTGTACTGTTGCCGCAGCACAATTAACCATGTATGACTAAGAATTAGAAACATTGTAGAATTGGGTCTTTCTAGAGCAGAATATGGTTTTATTAACCATAAAGTTTATCATTGTCTTGTCGGGACATCACCATTCACTCCTTCAGCTTGTTCCCAAGCTCAGCTCACAGTGACCGGAAGTGCCCTTAGGAGGCTTGCTTAAGCCAAGGGGTCGGGTTGCACCCCATCATGGTATGGAAAAGTCACAGACAGGGACGGTAGTCAGTAAGAGGGGAGATAACGGAGTGTGAACGAGTGGTGGCCTTGGCACTGTGCGTTCAGGAAAACCCAGCCAGAACAAGGGCTGGAGATGCCTTCATGCTGGTGGGTTTTGAGCTAGGCTGCGACAGTGGGGACACAGCAACAGGCTGGGTACTGGCAGGGACTCAGCAGTCATTCTCCTTTTATCCTCCAGTTCCCTAGTCAGCACCAATGAACATCTCCTGCAGGAGTTGAGCCGTACGCGGGCACAACATAGAGCTGAGGTAGAGCAGATGCACTGGAGCTTCCAGGAGTTTAAGAAGACTGCTGCCCTCTTCCCACACCATAGCTCTCCACTTGGTGGCCGCCAGTCCTGCTAGTTCCTACTGGCCTGTGCTCTCCTCCATCAGTTACAGCTCCAGAGTTGTGCCTGGGCAGGTATCTATCTGAATACCCTGGCAAGACTGTAATTACCTTAGAATCCTCAAAATGTGTTCATGGTCTGAAGTTCAGCTTGCTTATATGTCCTAAACTGATCTTTGACCCTGGGGCTTTGCCGAATTTGAAATGCTTGTTTGTCATTACACATCCTGTCATAAAGTACCTGTAGTATTTTTTTCCTCCCAATTCGTGTAAGTTTTGTATAATTAAAATGTTTTCATGTGACAAACAGTCTTTATTTAAAGAACTAATATATTGTTATGTCTAAAAAGTAAACCTTTTGCCGGGCGGTGGTGG